GCTTGCCCTTCAATGGCTTGCCTCGTTTCTCCAAGGTCGGGGACAGAGGGTAGTGCTAGGGGAACAGCAGTCCCAGAGGCACCCTCTTGAATGTGGGGTGCCTCAGGGGGCGGTGTTCTCCCTGATGCTGTTTAACATATATATGCGGCCCCTTGCCCAGATTGTCCAGATGCATGGGCTGGGGTGTCATCAATACGCACATGACACCCAGCTCTATTTGATGTTGGGTGGCCAGTCGGACTCTGACCCAGAAGATCTGCACCAGGCTTTACAAGCCATGGCTGGGTGGCTCAGACTGAGCAGGCTGAAATTAAACCCAGCGAAGACGGAGGTACTGTGCTTGAGTCGGACCGGTCCGGGATTAAAGCTCCCGCTTCCAACCTTCGACGGGGCACCTTTGGTGCCAGCTTCGGAGGTTAGAAGCTTGGGGGTGCTCCTGGACCCCACCTTAACGATGGAGGCCCAGGTGGCAGCCACTGCCAGATCAGCCTTTTATCATCTTCGGCTGGTACGGCAGTTGGTTCCTTTCCTCGACCGCAACGACCTAGCTACAGTGATCCATGCGACGGTCACCTCGAGGCTAGACTACTGTAACGCTCTCTACATGGGGCTGCCTCTGTCGCAAATCCGGAAGCTACAGCTGGTGTAGAATGCTGTGGCCAGGTTGTTGGTGGGCGCCCCTAGGTGGGAGCACACCCAAACTGCACTGAAAGCGCTGCACTGGCTCCCTATAGCATATTGGATTTGCTTCAAAGTGCTGGTGCTTACCTTTAAAGCCCTACATGGCCAGGGTCCGACATACCTGAGGGACCGCATTTCCCCACATATTCCCCAAAGAGCACTTCGGTTGGGGTCACAACACCAGCTGGTGACCCCGGGCCCTAAGGAGGCCAGGCTTGCTGCAATGAGGGCCAGGTCCTTTTCAGTGGTGGCTCCTATCTGGTGGAACCAGCTCCCGGAGGAGATCAGGGCCCTGCGGGACCTTTTGCAGTTCCACATGGCCTGTAAGATGGAGCTCTTCCGCCAGGCATTTGAATAGGAGCCGCCACTGCCACTACCACTACCCCTCCATTATAGAGCAATACCGCCGGAGGGCCGGGTACCATCTGTCTACGGCCCTAGCCCTCCCCTCTGTTATGCAAGAAGGTGGAAGTTTTCTATTCTTGCATCCTGATGGAATTGAATTTTTAACTGTATTTTATATACTGTATGCACTTTGTGCCTTGTGTAAGCCGCCCTAAGCCCGTTCGCGGGAAGGGCGGGATATAAAAACAATGAAATGAAATAAATAAATAAAATAAATAAATGCCCATCAGCACTTTTTCACTTGCACTGCAGTTTGGGAAAGGCAAGAAACTACAGAGTCTTCTCATGTTGTCCTTACCTTTTCCAAACAGTAGAAATGAGAGAAAACCCTGCCTCTTCCTTGAGCCCTATGGAAAGAGCAAAGGGTGGGAGACTGGTGGAATATCTATCTCACTTGCTGTATGGTATGGATAAGTTAAGAAACAGTGGAGGTCACTCCTTGGGTTGCCAAGTGTCACCTTGTTCCAGAGCGGGGGACTCCCGGGTCGATCCATAGAATTTTCCCTCGGATGACCGTGGCCCCGCCCCCACCGTGCCCAGCGTGGTTGCGTCACTTCCTGGTGACGTGCACGTCGGGGTGGAGTTTCCCCCGGGGCCCAATCCAGTGGCGGCGGGGAACGGGCCTTTGGGGTGGGGGTTTCCCCACCCCCCGGGGGGACTTGGCAAGCCTAGTCACTCCTCTTGTTCCATGTTTTTGGTATCACAGGGCAAATAAGAGAAATCCCTGCATCTTCCCCAGCTCTCTGGGCATGCCAGCAAACTTAAGGAGAGGAAGGGGTGGAGGTTGTTGGTGAACACAAATAAAGGCTGCCTGCTAAGTAGGGTTTCCAGGTTTCCAGTGGGGCCTGGAGATCTCCCGCTTTTACAGAAATCAGCTCCCCTGGAGAAAATGGCTGCTTTGAAGGGTGGTCTGTATGGCTTTGTACCATGCTGAAGCCCCTCCACTCCACAAACCCTGCCCTCTCCTGGCTCCACCCCCAAAGTCTCCAGGTATTTCCAGCCCAGACCTGGCAACCCTATAAGTCAACCCAATGTTTGTGGACATTTGGCCCTAATATTCACTTCCAGCACCAACTAGCTGCACTGCTGTAACAATATTGCTCCGGAGCTTTCCCTACTTAGTCTAAATCCTGTACTGTTATGTGAACCAAAGGCACTGACTGAAGTTCTGTCAGGAACAATGGCTGAGCCATAACTGGCTCCCCAGAGTAGCAACAAATAAATGCAGACCAATTTGTTCTCCTTGACCTATATGCATGAGTTCAGAAACTGACAGACTGCTGATCAAAATGCTCCCCCCCCTTCTCTCTTTTTTAGTTCACAATGGCTTGTGTTTTCACATCCAACAAAACCATCAGAGTTTGTCCTTTCCTCAACGGGGATGTGGAAAACCCAGAACCCAAAACTAACAGCACATGGATTCGTCCCAATTTGCCCAGCAAGTGTACATGGAAACCAGGAAAATCCATCTCGGAATCTCCTCATAATTGTGTGCCTTTGTAAGTAGCAGCCGTGTTACCAGCAGCAGTCAGAAAATGTTTTCTCCATGCTGACCTCTACCTCAGACTGCAGCAGTTTCTTCTCTTGTTACATTGATCAAAGAGGATGTTCGTAATTGGTTCTATGAGCATTTTCTGTTCAGCTTTTGTTTTGTACCAAGCATGATATGGATTCCATCCGGCTGGTTATACATCTGTGTTAATCCACTGCACAATCACTTGCATTGGTGTGAACTCACTAGTTTTATTCAGACTCCTAGGGCTTGTCTGTATGGCAGTTTTTCCATGTTCCTGTGTTGGTTCTACACTTCTATAGTACACAGTAGAGACTGTGCAAAGGCAGACTCTGTTTTGTCCTGGGAGACTCTCATGATGACTACGTGGATCGCCCCTCACATGTTGGTCTAACCAACAGTGAGAGTTAGTGCAAGCAAAGCACCTTTCGTGTTTGGACTGGGGAAAATAAGAACACTCAAACACTGTTCCCAGTCCCTAAAATTAAAACTGTCTGGTTGAAACCATCTATGTTAAAAGAAAGATCAAAATGGGTAGCCATGTTAGTCTGTCTGTAGCAGCAGAAAAGGCAAGAGTCCAGTAGTACCTTAAAGACTAACAAAATATGTGGCAGGGTGGAAGCTTTCGTGAGTCACTGCTCACTTCTTCAGAAAGTGGTTTCTCCACTCTGTTGGGAAAAATGTGGCGAGATCAGCTCATGCACTCTTTGCTGGTGGCAATGTAAGCTCATTAAAGACTTCTAGACTGACGTTCTCTCACAAATAAACATCATTACAGGCTATACGGTCCCACTCCTACCGGAACTTCTGTTTCTAAATTATAGGCATGATTTATCACTTCCCAAAAACAGACGTGAACTAATCATTACCCTCTTAGTAGCAGCCAAAACTGCAATAGCTCTGTGATGGAAGTCTTCCTCTGTCCCTACGCTGTTGCTTTGGTACACAAAGGTACGGACCAATTCATAATGGATAAAGTATTGGATGGTCTCCACCAAGCAAAAATTTACCCCCCATGGGATTCATAGATGGTTTCCGTTTCTAGAACACATTGTCAAAAACAATATTCAACCTATAAATCTATTCTTGGAAGCTTACAAAGTGAGAGATGACTTCTGTAAACCTAAATAAAGTTCCACTGGGTACAGCAAAGTACAGCCATATCTTGGTGTTCCTAAAGTTTACAGATAGAATGACACTTGCACACAACAGATTCTTGTTGCAAACAGCTTTTACATCTTGGTCTTAATGGAAGAAAAAGAAAAAGAAGAAGAGGAGGAGGAGGAGGAGATGGAATTTTTACCTGCTCTTCACTACCCAAAGGAGTCTCAGAGTGGTTTACAAACTCCTTTCCCTTCCCCTCCCCACAACAGACACCCTGTGAGGTAGGTGAGGCTGAGAGAGCTCTTTTGAGAACTGCTTGTGAGAGAACAGCTCCGAAAGAACTTGTGACTGACTCAAGGTCGCAGCTGCATGGGAAATCAAACCTGGTTCTCCTGGATTAGAGTCCACACTTCTAACCAGTACACCTAACTGGCTCTCACACCTGTATTAGTAGAAGTATTCTCTGGAAGCCAGTTCTACCAATATAGTGGACTGGGGTGGGTAGAACTGTTCTCCGGAGGCCAGGTCTACCAATACAGCAGCAGCTTTTCTCAAAAGCATGACAAGCATAGTTACAATCGAAATGTAGCTGGAAATCAATATCCAGTTTAGTAACACATTTTCCCAGCTACTGTTCTAGGCATTTTTCAGAGCTTATCAAGGCATTTATCAAGTCGCAGAGATCATACACTCCAGAAAGTTTAGAGGCTTTTCTGTCTGGAACTATGTGAATAGACATAAACCAGTAACTTAATGCTTCCTGCAATAAAACAAGTTAATGATAAGTGTAAGTATCTGGAAGTAATTTTGTTTGGCTTGTTTAAAGAGAGGTTGGTCTCTTATGAGAATCCTGTGTGCTTAGCACATTGTGTCACAGAGGACAGAGACTCATAAATCCCCAAACCTACCTACTGAGCCTCAGACAAACTTTTCAAGGAAACACCAGCACTTAAAGAGAACGGGCATTTATGGAAAAGGTTCTGGGATACAGATCTGAGTAGGAAGTGTAAATGCTGGGCGATAGTGCCTACGGTGCAGCCCTTGAGGAGCAGGCTATGCTCCAGATGTACTGGCAGTGATGAGACATGTCACCTTGCAGATGTTTCCCGCCCTGGTCCTGCTTGAGGTGGCAAAATGTAACTATTTAGTTCCACACATAAGGACAGAGGGATCTTGTAGATGAAGATCGTCATCCTGCTATCTCCATTACTAGTTGCATAAACATGAACCATAAACAATATGTATTGGGAACAATAATAAAATGGAAAAAATTGAATAAGAGAAAAACAGTATAAAATTAACTTTTTTTCTTTCTTTTTTTCCCCTGTATCAACTTTTTTTAAATAATTTTTTTATTTGCATCATAAATTATTATTACATTACTTTACCATCCCAGTTCTCTTATGATACATTTCCCCCCTTTTATATCCCACCCCCCACAAGGTGGCCATCACATAACTACAAATTAAATTTTTAACCATGAGCACATTTTTTTCAATTTTTCAAATATAACGGAATTAGCTTCTCCATTATTTACCCACTGAAAGTATATAGACCATTTCTTTTTTATCTCCTTCATTTTTCCATCCCATACCTTATTTTGTTTAATACATTCCAATATATCTGACTGGATATATTCGTATAAATAGTCGTTCCATCTATCTAAAGACCACTTCAAACTCTCCTTCCAACCATATGCAATCACAGCATGCGCTGCTAGTAACATTGCTTTAAAAATATCCTGATTTCGTCTCTCAATATTACCATTTCCCAGTACGCCCATAAATAATAGATCTCCATCTATTTTAAGATCCACTTTACATAACC